CTCCATAGTTCTTTCTTTGGATATGGATAGCATTTTCCATCATGAGGCCTTTGGAGATATCTTAGATCCTTGTATTGCTGAGAAGGGTTAAGTCTATCAATATTAGTCATTGCACAATGTTGCTGTTGCTGTGTACAAGGTTCTCCCGGTTCTGTTCACTTCGCTCTGCATCAGACCATACAAGTCTTTCTAGGTTTTTCTGAAGTCCACCTGCTCATCATTTCTTATAGCACAATAGTATTCCATTTCAGTCATATACCACAACTTGTTCAGCCATTTCCCAATTGATGGGCATCCTCTCAATTTCCAATTCTTTGCCACCACAAAAAGAGCTGCTATGAATATTTTTGTACATGTGGGTCCTTTTCCCATTTGTATGATCTCTTTGGGATATAGCCCTAGAAGTGCTACTGCTGGGTCAAAGGGTATGTACATTTTTATAGCCCTTTGGGCTCTCCAGATTACTCTCTAGAATGGTTGGATTATTTCACAACTCCACCAACAATGCATTAGTGTTCCAATTTTCTTGACACCTGTTTTCAATGGAGGCTTCTACTCCTAATCCCCCTGACTCCTTAGTTAGGATGCACCTTGTTCTCCATTGCCATTCCTAGGAATTGACTTTACCAGAGTCATTCAAAAACATCCCATTTTTCAAAGGCTGAACCATCTACTTCCAGGACACTCCCACTTTCTATAATGACTTCTTCACCATATTTTATAGTCTTCTTGTCCACCCAATTACCTTGTAGGGAATTGTTTTGTTTTGTTTTGTTTTTGGCTAGGCAATGGGTTAAGTGACTTGCCCAGGGTCACACAGCTAGTAAGTGTTATGTGTCTGAGGATGGATTTGAACTCAGGTCCTCCTGAATCTAGGGCCAGTGCTCTATTCACTGCAGCCACCTAACTGCCCCTAGGGAATTATTTTGTACCAATTGTTTTTACTATACTATTTAGTAAATACCTTTGCTAAGAAGATTGTTGAGGCCACTGGCTGAGAACAATGGAGAAGCACACCAGTGGGGCATGTGAATAACAATACTAGAAACCTCACCCCCGTGGCATTACTCCTAAAACCTTGAGGGAAGAAGTAGTTAGACACTTCCTGGGGACTCCAGCCTATAAATTAAAAAACCTAATTGGAGTACAGTGCCTCTAGAGCAGTTGCTACACTTTTAAAAATCATGAGCAAGAACAGACTTCAGACAAGGTCATATAGGATCAGACTGAAAATCACTAACTACATCCCTGGAATTTGACATCTCCAAGTTTTTGAACACTGTTTCTTTGGGGTTTCTCCCTTTCATGTCCTCAGCAGAATTTTTTAACCTCATCTTTACCTATGGGATCCTGCTCATTCTGCAAGGCTGAAATAAAATATTACCTCTTTCATGAAGCTATCTTTAGCCTCCCCACCTCCAGTTCCAAACCCAACCAGATTCCTTTGCCCTCCTAATTCCCACTGCCTTCTGGTATAGTTCTTTTCTGTGATGCCTTATCTATCCTACTGGACAATAAGTTCCTTAAGAGTAGACCAGGTCTTGTTCATTTATGGAAAAGGGAAGGAAATATGCACCTACTATGTGCCAGGTACTGTGCTAGGTTTTGGTTTTTTTTTTGTTTTGTTTTTACAAATATTATCTCCTCTGATCCTCACTGGGAGGTAGGTGTATTTATTTTACAAGTGAGGAAATGGAGGCAAACAGAGTGTCAGTGACTTGCCCAGGATCATACTGGTTAGTAAGGGTCTGAGGCTAGATTTGAACTCAGATCTTCCTGACTCCAGGCCCAGTGCCTCTGTGCCACCAGCTACCTCTAGGAGAGGTGTCTAAGTAGCCCCCAGAACATAGCACATAGTAGGTGTGGAATAAATACCTATTGAATGATTTAAAGAGGTGAGGTAGAGGTAGAGGGAAAACCAGTATGATCTCTGCAGACTGAGGACTTGAGTGATCTTTGGAGGGGATGACCCAGGCCCAGAGGAGAATGGGAGGCAGCAACAAAGAGCTTGAGGAATGGGGATATTGATATGGGTCAAGTATTCCCCAATCAGAAATAACCCACCTAGACCCTCTCTTCAGTTTCCTTCAACAATTTTAAGCACCTTTTAAGTACAAGACACCAAGTTAGGCATTTTCAATTGAAAGATTAATATAAGGTACAGTCAAGTAATTCCCTGACTTGGCATTGGGAAGAGCTGACTTTAAATCATACCTTAGATATTTACTAATTGTGTAATGAAAATCTCACTTAGCCTTTCTGGGCTTAAATTTTCTAATCTATGTAATGAAGAGGCGGCACTAGATGATGTTTAAGGTCCCTTCCAATCCTAAATCTCAGATCTTTTATAAAGGATTTCTGCCATCAAGAGGTCTAACGGGGAAGGCAAGGGAACATGATTTGTACCAAAGTAATGACATAAGGTTAAACGTTATAGACTTTTTATAGTTATAGACATGTCAGGAGAAATTTGAAGGAGAGATCTGAAGGGAGAGATCGATTTAAACTGGGTGGGAGGCAGGGAAAGTGGGCTGGAGAATGTGACATGAAGATGTTGGGGAGGGTTGGAAAGTGGAGTCTATTCTAAGCATGGGGGCTGTCTAAGCAAAGGCAGAGATAGGAGAAGGCAAGATGTAAGAGAAAAGCTTGGTTTGTTCTGATCAACAACATTTTCTTTCCTATGCAAACCAGTCCCAGTAACTGTAATTAAGAAATCAAGGTCAAGTATCTACCTCCTAGAGGCTGGGCCACATCAGCACTTAGTCCTGTGTCCCTCAACTGCTTCTCACCCCCATACACAAACTATGTATTCACACCATGAACCTACACACAGACTTTCAGCATCTCACTAATCATGGAATCTTTGGTTTGCCACATCCTACCCCTCCACCCCCATGGCAGGATGGGCTGTCGGCTGGCTGATGTCTCCCTCTTGGGCGTTTCGGCTTTCTTCTACAGAGGTAGTAGAAGTCAGTAGTGACTTCTGGGAAAGACCTAGACCTTGTATCTTCAGTGTATTTCCCCTCCCATGGATCCCCATTGTCAGGTCGCCAACTCCAAACCTTAAATGTCTTCTCACTCCCAGAGCCCTGGGACTTGAGCTTGCACTGACTTTCTCCAGCCCCCTCCTCCCCACCTTGCTTAGTTGTTTTGAATCCCGCCATCCTCTCTTTCCTCATCATCCTTGGGATTATGACTAAAAATACATAAAAGCAGCTTTTCCTCTCGCCCCCGCCCCGACTTCTGAAACTCTAGACCACGATTGGTTTCCCCGTGGGCCCCCACCAAAGCCCTGGTCCCTGAAGGGTCTCCTAGCCTAATTCATGGGAAGATCAAATGGCCAACCCCACCCCCGGCTCCAATCCAGGCTAGCTCCCGAAGATGCTTTCCCTCTTTCCGAGGGGTTGCTCCGAGATCTCGCCTATTCGCTAGAGTAAGAGCAGAGATGGGGAGAGGGGCGTAGAGGAGACTCCCTGGTACTAGCACCTCCCCTGTTCCTTCCTAGCCTGGCCCCGCCTCTCCGCGGAAAATGAACCCAAAAAAGGGCCGAAAAGAAATTTCAGAGCAAAGTTGGCCTGCGAAGCTGGAGAGGCGGAGAGAATGGGAGGGAGGGGAGGCGGGGGAATAAGCTGGAGAGAGTGGGATGGAGAGGAGGAGGGGATGAAGAGAAGGAGTGGGGGGGCCTGAGACCAGAGTGGGGCGATCCCGCCCTATGACAGTCTCCAGGGACAGAAACCCAAGGTGGAACTTCGGCTCCTGGAAATCACCGATTCGGAACTGGGGTGAAGGGCTCCTGCAGCCCGAAGCATCGTGGAAAAAATGCGGGGCACGTGGGGGGAGGGGTGTATCCCAGTGCCAGGGGGAGGAGGGGAGGAAAAGTGAGGGAAGGGGGAAGGGAAGGCAGCAGAGGAATGGGAGGACTACTGTGGTCCCGCTTGAGGGGCCATTAATTGGGAGGTCTGGGAAAGCCGGACTGTCACCGAGAAGGATCCGTCGCGAGAGTCGTGCCAGCAGCCTGGGGTCTGGGCGGGAAGGGCACTGGTTCTCAGGCTGGCATCACACGCCCCCGCTGGACGCCTCGCGTGTCCATGTTGCCCAGCCGGATTTCAACCCCCTGTGTTTGCCTCGCGCCCCTCTTGCCCTCAGTTTCGCCTTAAGATCCTTGGCAGAGGCATTCCCGCCCCGTCCCAAAAAAGAGAGGTGAGCCAAGGGAAGTAACGGAGGTTTGCGGTTTCAGCTCTACGCAGCTGCCCTCCTGCTCCTTGCTCTTCTCTCGTTCTCAGCAGAATACCAAACTCAAGGGGGAAACTGAGGCACGTGGAGAGCAGAGGCTAGGAATAAGAGCTGCTCGTCCCTAACAGCTTCCCAAGAGACATTCTATCCGGGGTGGATTTAGCGATAATATCTAAATTAAGGGTAGCGACTGCTGCAAGCCGAGGGCGGGGGTAGGGGGATGGGGGGGAGTGACTGCCCCCCGCCAGCTGCCGTGAGCTCACGCCCCGAAATAGCCCCAGGGGCCTCAGGCGGCAGCTGCCCGGTGTCACTCAGCCCGGACCCCTGACCCTTGGTGCTTTTTCCTTCAAGACCCCGGCCCCCCCCTGCCCATATTGGGAGCATACTGTCCTGTTCCTGGGGGCTTCTCCCAGCCTCCACTTCTCCCCATGCCTAGCCTCCTCGAGGGTCAGGGTCACAGCTCCAGACCTCAAGCTTTCAGCCCAGGTCATTCACAATGGGCGGGGCCAGGGAAGGACTAAGGGTGGGGGCAGTTGTGTCAGAGAAGTTTGGGGTGATCCAGAAGGGCAGCTGTGAAGGTAGGGGCCTAAGAGGTAAAGTCCCTACAGCCTGCTTCCCTCCCCCTACTCCCCCACGCACACCTCGTTTCTGCCCCTCCCCCTTCTGCCCAGATCTTGCTTCTGCCCCTACAAGGTTCGGGCGGCTCGTGGGGGAGGGTCCCGGGTCCCCGGCTCCGCCCGGTCCCTCCCCGCCTTTTAGGCGGTGGCTCTGGGCTGGGACGTCTCAGTGCCTCCTGGTCCATACAGTCAGTCGTCTGCCCGGCCCGTTCCGACCCCGGTCCGAACAGCCCATTTGCCCTAGCTCAGCCTCTCCAGCCCACTCCCAGCCGCAGCCATGGACGCCATCAAGAAGAAGATGCAGATGCTAAAACTTGATAAGGAGAATGCCATTGACAGAGCCGAGCAAGCAGAAGCCGACAAGAAACAAGCAGAAGACCGCTGCAAGCAGGTGGGGCCCCGAAACTCTGGACTGTGCGCCCTCAAACCTATAGCACCTCAGCCTGTCTTGAGCCCCCAATTCCCTCTCCAAATACTCCATCCTAGGCTCTCTCAGCCCCCTCCTGCAGACCTAACCCTCACCAAATTACCCTGGAATTCATCTCTCCACATCCAGGATGCTTGATGTGGGCCCCCAATCCTTCCATTCAGACTTCCAAATTGCCTCCCAGTTTTCTCAGGATCCCATCTGGGAATCCCAGATACCCTACAGATACCCAGATACCCACCCACTACACACACACACACACACACACACACACACACACACACACACACTTCCCTCTTTGTTTTTCATTTCTAATCCTCATCACCATCCCTAAACTGTAGATGACTCCCCAAATCTTCACTTCACCCCCTTCACAATGGCATTATCTTTGAAGTAGGATAAGTACCCCAGGTTTACTGACTTACCTGAAACAATTCATTCATTTTCCTGCCCTACCTCCAAGATCTCCATTCCCCTACTCCTATACCTCTTTCTACTCCCTGTCATATCTTACCCACCCAACCTGAGACCTCCTATTGTACCATATGTACACACCCCAAGGCCTAAAACCTTCTTCCTTGTCCATACCTCCTAATCTCTATGCTCACCATCATGCTGTTATAACACATCCCATAAAGCTATCCTTATTCTCCAACATCATTCACCATTCTGCCAAGTCTAGAGACCCTCTCAACCTCAGTTTCCTCATTTGTAAATTGGGGGGTTTGGATTAGATCAAGAGGGGAGAACCTTTGGCCTCAAGACCACATGTGGCCCTCTAGGTCTTCAAGTGCAACCCTTTGACTGAATCCAAACTTCACAGAATAAATTGCACTTGACGACCTAGAAGACCACATGTAGCCCCAAGTCTTCAGCTTTTCCACCTCTGGATTCAATCTTATCTAGAATCCCTGACCTTTCCAGGACTCTATGATGTCTCTCACCTCCTTAAGCCACTCTAAATCCCCTAAACTGACAACACCCCCCCCTTCTCAAACTCACTCTTTCCTATGCCTTGATCCTGCTGCCCCACCCAACCTGATGGAGATTTCTCTATCCCCAGCTAGAAGAAGAACAGCAGGGACTCCAGAAGAAGCTTAAGGGTACAGAGGATGAGGTGGAAAAGTACTCCGAGTCTGTGAAAGATGCCCAGGAGAAACTGGAGCAGGCGGAGAAAAAAGCCACTGATGTGAGTATGTGTGTGAAGCAAGCAAAGAGCAGGGGCTACAGGTCAGTCAGTCTAGGGAGGAAGAGAATGCAGGGCTCTCCCCAGACTCTCCCCAAGAGCCACAGTCTGCTTTGGATTATTTGCATTAGAGTAAGGGAGCAATTGGACAGGTTATCTGAAATTAAGGGTAAACCACTGCCACAGATCATATCCAATGCATAATGGAGAATATGACTGAACACTGAAGGAAGACAGGAATATGGGGTGGATCGGGGTAGAGGGCAGGGAAAGAGGAGCTTAAGGAGATAGGAACAAACCCAGAGATAGAGACTGGAAGGAAGGGGGAGGGTGTACCAGGGATCAAAGGATCAAGTTCTGGGTCAAGTTACATGAGTGAGTGACAGCCCCTGAGGGGCCACTAGAAATTCCCTGGCCTTGACCCCTGGCTCTGGCTGCCTGCTGCCAGGGGTAGTGACATTGATCTAGGGTTCTGTCCCTGCCCTTCAGTGGGCTCGTGCTCCCTTCCTCATTTACCCTCATTAAGTTGTCAGCTCCGTGGCCTTGCCAGGGCCCAGGGCATCGGGACACAGGACCCATGGGTGCCAAGGTAGCCAACTTGGCCAGCCTTGCCCCAACCCCACTCCACCAATATCCCTGCCTAACAGAGATCTCCCATTATAGTATAAAGGTGAGGGCGCTGGACTATGAGTTAAAAGACTGAAACAAACTTGCAAGGTGACTTTAGGTAAGGCAATTAACTTCCCCAAGCCTTGGTTTTTCTAGGGATGAATACAATAGCTTCTGCCCTGCCTTCCCTCTGGGCAGTCATGAAGTTCAGATGAGATAATGTACATTAAAATCCTTGTATACATTGGTGTACAATGGTATAGCTATATTTGGAGTCGGGAGAGACTTGGGTTCAAACCTTTCCTTTGACATTTAATTAGCATTGAGACCATAGGGAAGTCACTCAATCTCTCTGAGCCTCGGTTTCCTGATCTGTAAAATTCAGAATACAGTAGCTAGCTCATTAGAGAATCAAATGAGATATTGTACATTGTAAACCTTAAAGCACTATATTAGTGCCGACTACTATTATTAACGTGAGCCAGAGATTGCTAATCCTATTATTACTGCTATTATTAATGGTTTTAATTTATTGCTAATTATTACTTATACTCTGAAATCCCTCAATATTCTATTCCCTGTCCCCTTCAACCACTTTTCAAACCCCTCCCCCAGCCTACACCCTTGGTTCCATATCAAGCTTGGACCACTAGGGAAGGGACTGACCTGCAGCTGCTGGGTGGGGGGATGGGGGGAGACGACCCCTCAGCCATCTGACACCCTATAAATAACCCTGGACCCTGTACTGGAGGCTAGCCTGGAAACCTAAGGAGCTGGGGTGAGGGGGTGGGACCTGGAGAGGACATAGTGCGGGCTGGGAGGAACAAAGTGAAACAGGCTAATGGGATTGAGATTATTCCCATGCGTTTCAGGGGTAGATAGTGGTCTGAGGACTCCCTGGTTTCCCAGAGAGAGTATCCTTCCAAGAAAGTATCTGCTTCCAGAGAGTCCCTTCCCAGAGAATCATTTCCTTGCCTCCAATTTCCCCGAATTGCCCCGTCCCTTGAATGAAATGAGAGTGTTAAAAATTGTTTTCACATGCAACTGGGAAATAAGATATACAGGCAATGGGATATAAAAATCTATCCTGCCTTATAGGAAAATAGAAGGGGAAGGGGATAAGAGAAGCGATAGGTGATAGAAGGGAGGGCAGATTAGGAAAAGGAGTATTCAGCATGAATGCCATCTTGGAGTTGGGGAAGGGGTGAGATGGGGAGAAAATTTGGAACTCAAAATCTTGTGGAAGTGAATGTTGAAAACTAAAAATAAATAAATTAATGGAAAAAAATGAAATGAGAGGTACATGGAGGCAGGGGTGTTGAGAGACTTGAGAGAAATGGCAGAAGAGAGGAGACCTTTCAGGATTCACAGGTTGGAGGATATAAGGGCTGCTTCCAGATCTCCCCCTTTCACACTAGCAGGAGCAGTGGAAGGTTGGTTGGTACTGGGCTCATAGGTGGGGATGAATTGGGGATTATAAAGCAACAAAAACTATCAAAGCCAATCTGTACACTTTGAAAGTAAAAACCAGAGAGGGCCCTGGCTGTTAAATGGAGGGACAGGAGAAGATGAAATCTAAATATCATATGGACTTGGATGGATGATATTGACTGAGAGCCAGCCTGTTCTTCCTGCCAAGTGGTCACCTCTTGGTGCCTCTTCCTTCTTTTGAACCTTTCTGTCTTTCCTGTCCTGCCCTAGCCTAGCTTATTCTTTCTCTCTATGTCTCTGTCTCTCTGTCTCTGTCTCTCCCATCGTTTATGTCTGCTTCTGTTTTTGCTCAGTATTTCACTGCCCATTCCTGCTTCTCTCAGTGACCGTGTCTCTCTTTCTCAATTCCTTAATATCTCTTTGTCTCTATCTCAAGTATCTCTTTGTCTCAGTGTCTCTCTTTTTGGTGCTATGGCAATATCTCTGTGTTTCTGTCTCTGCCTATCTTGATATCTTGGTGGCTCCTGGCCCTTTGACCAAGGACCTAGGTTCCAGTCCCACCTCTGACTTTTTACAGGCACTGTGACGAAGGCAATTCCGAGTCTGTTTCCTCTACTGTAAAAGAGATATACTTACCTCATAATGTTGTGAGGAAATCACTTTGTAGACCTTAAAGCTCTATACAAATGTGGGTTATTCTTCTCAGCATCTCTATCTCAGGATTGCTTTGTCATTCTCTTTCACAATATCACAAGGTCTCTGCCACCATCTGAAAGTTTCTGTCTACCTCAGAATCTGCATCTTTCTCTATCTCACTGTCTTAGTATTTCTCCCTCTGTCTCTGAGTTTTCAGATTCTCTGGGTTTCTCCATTGGGCTGAAATATTCTGGTGGCTACAAGTTACTTAAGAGAGAGAATTTATCTGGTATCAATGATGTCATGAGAAAATGGGAAGTCCCTGCTCTGCCCTGAGGTTTCCTGGACAGAGGGAGGGCTCACTCAGTCTCTTCTCCTGGGACAAGTAGAAATGGGGAGGGGTCAGTCAGAGAGGTGGGGCAGGTTAGGGTCTCTGGGTGTTCACCCCCATCACAAAATGTATTCTTTAGGGTCTGCCTAGCCTAGGGTCTCAAAGTTCAAAGTCAGAAGTTTCTGCGGCCCAGGACAAGTTACCCTGAGGCTTTGGGTGTCAAATTTCAAAGTCAAGGTCCCCATCCCCACCACACTCCAGCAATCCTGTGTCCATAAAGAACATCCAAGCTACAGTAGGTCATGGAGAGGAAACAGGAAATGGGTGTAAGGACAGTAGCTTTGTGTTCCCTTGGTCCTCAGATCAGACCCCACCATTGCCTATTCCCAGTAGCATAAAGGAGGTCTGTGTCCCAGATTGAGGAATGGAAATCTTGGGTTCCTTCTGGCCAGGCCCACGAGTATATTTGGCCAAGACTTTGGGGGAGGGAATGAACTGAGATCCTGTGACCTCAGACCCCAACTGGCCATGGGCATGGTGTCCCTAACCTGTAACCTCTTACCTCTTCTAGGCTGAAGCAGATGTGGCCTCCCTGAACCGGCGTATCCAGCTGGTAGAGGAAGAGTTGGACAGGGCCCAGGAACGTCTGGCCACAGCTCTTCAGAAGTTGGAGGAAGCAGAGAAAGCAGCGGATGAGAGCGAGAGGTCAGTGGCCCTTTGAATTTTTAGGGGAGGGGGCCCACTGGCCTGAGGAAAGGCCAGTGGCCTTCTCCCAACATCGATCCCTTCTTTTTCTCTCCTCCTCTGTTCAGAGGAATGAAGGTCATTGAGAACCGGGCCATGAAGGACGAGGAGAAAATGGAGTTGCAGGAAATGCAACTAAAGGAAGCCAAACACATTGCAGAGGATTCCGACAGAAAATACGAGGAGGTAAAGGCCTCCCGATGCTCCCCAGCACCCCCAGGGCCTCCCAGGTTCCCTCAATGCTAGCCCAGCTCTTCCCCACAATTCCTAGTCTCCACCAGTCCTTCCTCCATTCGGACCCCACGCCCACCCCAGTCCTTCTAAACCACCCCGACATCCCCATGACACCTCCAGATATAGCCTGGGTCCCCTACCCTGTCCCTCAGGTGGCCCGGAAGCTGGTGATCCTAGAGGGGGAGCTGGAGCGCTCAGAGGAGAGAGCAGAAGTGGCTGAGAGGTGAGGAGGGAGCCAGGAGAGAGATGAGGAGATGGATGTCCAAAGTAAGGGCATTCATGGGGGACGAGGGAGGTGGGGGGAGGGGCTCACCTCTGTGGGTAAAGGGATGTGAGGGGCTCCAGGAGTGATGGAACAAGGATCCAGGATTGGGGTGGGGGGGTCCCTGGGACTCCATATTACAGGCTGGGGAGCCCTCAGTGATAGCTTCTGTCCTGTCCCTCTCCCCATACACTCACCTGCTTCCCTGCCCCACCATGGCCCCCCAGCCGGGCCCGGCAGCTGGAAGAAGAGCTCCGAACTATGGACCAGGCCCTCAAGTCCCTGATAGCTTCGGAGGAGGAGGTAGCAGCCTGTGGGGTTGGCTGGGCAGTCACTCTGGGCTTTCTTTGCATCCTTGCCACTGCCTCACTGCTCACCACTCCTGGACCTCAGGCTGCGCTGCCACCCGCGTGGGGGAATCAGGACGGATGGGGTGGTTGAGTTAGGGTTGATACGACAGTTCTATCTGCCCTCTTGCTCTCATAGTCTTGTTCTTTTCTCCCCACAATCTCCCCTCCACTCCCGTTATCCTGAATCCCCTTCTCACAATCCCGTCTTCTCCTGTTTTTCTTCTCTCCACCCTGCCCCCATCACTTTCCTTTGTGCTGACCCCTCATCGGTCTCCCCCTGTCTCCTCTGCTCCTTCACATCCCCACTCCTGTACAGTAAATGTGGGGACCTAGAGGAGGAACTGAAAATTGTTACCAACAACCTGAAATCCCTGGAGGCCCAAGCCGACAAGGTAGAGGGGGGGGGAGAGGGCATCAAGGATGGGGGCAGTGAGAATGGGTTGTTTAAGGATGAAATGGTGAAGACTAGAAGGAAGTGAGGGGGTAAGGGTAAGGACAAGAGAGATTAAAGATAGGGCAGGGGAAGTAACAGCATAAAGAGGAGGACTGGAGATGGGAGATGGGGACAATGGAGTCACAGCCCGCCTCCGTAGATGGAGTTGGGCCCAGGGAGAAGGGGATGGGTGAATCAGGCCAGTAGGAGTCGCTGAAGAAGGTATACTGTGTGTCCTGGAATGATGGACAGGGGGCAAGAGAAATAGCCTGTGGTGGGTCAGTGAAAGAATAAGAGGCCTCTCAGGAGATGGAACAGAAACTGAGTATTTTTGTGTTACCCCAAAGTATTCCACCAAAGAAGACAAATATGAAGAGGAGATTAAACTGCTGGGAGATAAACTGAAGGAGGTGAGAGCTCCCTCCTCCCCTCCCCCCCAACCTTCCCCTACTCACCTCCTCAAACCCATGACACCATCTTTAGCCCCACTGCATGCAGTAATAGACCCCTGGGGCACAGCCTGGGAGTGAGGCAGAGGAAAAAAGAAGGGCTCCCTCAGAGTGTCTGACCCCTCTCCCCCAATTCTCTTCCCCACCAAGGCTGAGACCCGGGCAGAGTTCGCTGAGAGATCTGTGGCAAAGCTGGAGAAAACCATTGATGATCTGGAAGGTAAAGGGGAACCCACCTCCAAGAACCTTGTGTTCCAACCCCATTTCTCCTTTAGACACTAATTCATTAGAACCCTCTCTAGCTTGGGTAAGATGACCAGAGTTTGTACTGCCCTGGCTTATCCTGTAAGAATCCAGGGTCACCCTCACACCAATTTGAGGTATAGGGGTAGAGATATACAAGATAAAGCCCCTTTATCAAAAATAAAACACTTGGAGGAAACACTAATTCCCAGTGCCTGTACTTCGACTCTAAAAGAAAACTACTACTTAGAACAAAACTTAAAGAAACACAAATATCCAGGTACATGCTGGTACTTGCCTTAGCTTAGATATCAACAATCATTTAGATAAACCTTCACTTTCCTTTTTATTCTAAGTCCTTTTAACTTTCAAAAAAAAAAAAAAAAACAAAACCTGCCTCCGGGCCGCAGGACAAGCTTTGGCCTTTATGACTCTCGAAGCTTTTCTTTTTTATAGCTGCTGGCTCCCAAGTTAACGAGTGATTAGTGATTAATTACTCTAAGCTAAGTGGAAAGAGATCACTCGAGTCCAAAGGCTTTAGTTGGAAACCTAACTCTGCCATTAATTCACTGTGTGACCTTGAACAATCACTTTACCTCTCTGAACTTGTTTCCCTGTGTGTAAAAATAAGGGGTTTGAGCTATTCCCTAGGAAGTCCCTTCCAGCTATAACAACATATGAATTTTAAAATCCTATTTCTGATTCAAAGGCTGTTCTCCCCTGGTGTGTAGCCTGCCAGCTCTCCAATCCCTTGGAAGCAGGAAAAAAAGCCACTCCCTACTTAGCTCACAACTGAAACTAAAACTTAATATTAACTACCACCGAATGATCATGGTAGGGTGGCAAGGACACTGGATCCGGAGTCAGAGGCTTCCTGGTTGTATGACCTTAGCCAAGTCTCCCTCGGGGGCTCCTCGACTCTAAAATGAGGAGGAAGATTGGACTCCAGGGCCTTTGAGGTGCCTTTGGACTCTAGATCTGACCCCGTGATAGTGTTCCTTTGTTAGAAAGTGAGGTGAGGGGCTTAAACTTTTCTCTCTCATGGACCCCCTTGGCAGTCTGGTGAAGCCTATGGCTCCCTTCTCAGAATAATGCTTTTAAAGGCATAACATAAAATATATAGGATTTCAATAAAAATGAAATAGTTGTCAAAATATATATATTTTTTACAATTCATGGACCCAAGTAAAGAAACCCTGCTCTGTTGGGATATCCTATTTGGCTATTGGGCTCTCATTCCTTTAGAGAGAGTAGTAGCCCCTATGTTGTAATGCCCCTGGGTTTCTGCTGAACAATATTGGCACTTGGTAAGACCCAAATGACTTTTCAAGGAATTTTGACCTTTTCTTCTTCTGGAAACTTTTAAATATAAATTAAATAATGCAGAATATCCAATTTTTTGTAAACATCTAGAACCCAACTTTCTTCCCCCATGTACCTGCCCCCCCCACCCCACATATTCCCTATTGTAACCCTAGTCCTAAAGCCCATTGGTATGGGACTCTCCATTGGGGCATTGATCTTCACCAGTAAGAATGGAGTACCACATCCATGGTCTTTGAGATTGAGATGATACTATGAAAAAAAAACCAAAACAAAAAACACACACATAACGAAGCTACCCGAGTGGAGCAGAAGACCCTTAGCAGACAGATGAAGGGAGAAAGACCAATTTAGGTACAGATTTGAAGAACTGGGAGTTTGGGGATGGGGAAGAAGGAGTTCTAGACCAGAACTCTAATTTTCCAGACTATTTTCTGGCCTGTCTATCTTTCTCTGGCTCTGACTTTCATTTTTTTTTTCTCTTTCCTTTACCCACTCTTTTCCTCTCCTCCTCCTTTCCTGTACATCTTCCCACCCCTTCCTTATCTCACCTTCTCTATCCCTCCACCAACACCCTACCCTACCCCGACCCTGACTCCCTCCTATACACCCCAGATGAGGTCTATGCCCAGAAGATGAAGTACAAGGCCATCAGTGAAGAGCTGGACAACGCCCTCAATGACATCACCTCCCTCTAAGACCTGAGCCCCAAATCCCTGGACCTGGCCCTCTCTCTACTCTATCCCTCTTTTCTCATCTTCTTTCCATTCTCATGGGGAGGTGGAGCAGGAGGAGTCAAAGCTGCTGACCTTGCACAAAAAGCCAGGCTAGGGCTGGGGGAATCTGGCCAGAACCACCTTTGCCCCCCACTCCCACCCCCACCTGCCATTCACTGTCCATCCATCTACATCTGCTATTTAATAAACTTTCAACTTGGACTGCACCACGTTTTTCTCACCATCACCTCTGGCATGATAGTCCATGTGTCCACTGTGAGCACTCCTTGTGACCCCTACTGACCCTTATAATTCTCCATACCAAGCACCCCTCTAAACTTCCCATTGTATCCCTATGACCTAAACTGATTAAAGATTCACAGAGCACCACTATGTTCCCTACTAACCCCAGTACCTACCATGGAATACCTCTGTCACCTTCCATTTAACCATGATTTGCACGGATATCACTGACCCCCTAATACCTGCATGATTCACTGTCCCATATGATCTCAGGGAGCACTTTCATGACCCACTCCAGCATCACCCCAACCCTCCCACAGAGCACTCTTGTGCACTCACACTTACCCAATGGACATAGTCATAACCTTGCCTGAAGCCCAAGGTAATGAATTAAGTGTGCAAGAGGGAGGTGCTATCCTGGAAGGGATGGGTGAGGCAGTCTCTCGGAATGCTAAAGGGATAAGCTTTTCCTCATTCTGAAGATCCATTTTTTGCTTTTGAACCTGTCCCTGTCTCTGTCTTTTTAAACTGATTCAGTTTCCTTTTTCAGGAACTTAAGTACATAAAACACTTCACAACTCTCTTCTCCAACCCTTACATATAGGGTGGGGTGGCATTGGTGTCTGAGGTGACTAACTAAATCGTCTGTGTCTCTGTTCCTATTTCACTTTCCTGTCTCCATCATCCCATCTCCCGTGACCCCACCCCATCTTATCTGTCCATCTGTGTGTCTTCTCCATCTCCACCGTGTCACCTTTGTGTTTCCACTTCCTGCCTCGATGTGTCATGCATGCTTCCTTCTCCGTACCTCCCCTGCATCTGTTGCTATATGTCCTGTTACCCCCGTATTTGCCTTCTATGTCCTCCTACGTTCATCTCCAATCCATGTATCCCATGCCCTCACCCCATCACTACCATGTTGCCCTCATACTCCCTTGTGTCTCTCCCTGTGTGTCTGCCATTCTCCTCACCCCCTTCACAGAGACCTTGGCCAGTGCCAAGGAGGAGAACGTAGAAATTCACCAGACACTGGACCAGACGCTGCTGGAACTCAACAACCTGTGAGACCCCAGCCCAGCCCAGCCCAGCCCAGCCAAGGTGGACCTGGCTGCCCCCACCCTTACCCTCCCTTCCTTCCCTCACTCCTTCCCTCCCTGCTCAGGGCACTCTTCCCTGCACTTCAGACCCATTAAAACCACCATCTCAACCAGCATGTGCTATTTCTTGATAGGGAAAGAGGGAAGGGTTGTTAGAAAGAGTTCTGGAACTTGGAACAAAGACACCTGAATGGTTTTTCTAGCAACACCTGAGTCAAGTCCTTCTGGGATTCTCTTTCCCTTCCCCTTCCCCTCTCCTGATTACAATGGGAAGGGGCCACCATTTAGGAGGAAGGGGAGATTTCAAAGGCTCTCCAGGAGGTTTGCCTTGCCCAGATGTGGGCACAAGAGGGCAGAACCTCATTGTATACCCTGACTGCTTCACAAACCCAGAGGATCTTGGTCACTGGCTAGCTATGCCTTTCACTGGAAGTTGTGGGGGAAAGAGGACCTGGAACCTTTGTCTGGGAAGGAAACTCCCAGTCTGCAGGAGAAGCAACCAGGTAAAGCCAAGAGAATTTCAGGTTGCATTCTCAACAATGAGGTCTACAGCCACATTAGTCTTTGATCTTCCTGGGACTTCCCTCTTGCCCTAGACATCGAATACCAGGGAGGGTGGGGGAGAGAGAGGACCACAACCCACTGAGGGATTCGAGGCCAGTCATAGGCAGGAAACTGAACTGGAAAGCAAGATTTGAAAAGGTAAGAAACTAAACAGATTCATACCAAATCAGGGGAAAAGGAGAAAAAAAATACGCCACCCATGATTCTTTCATGAAGTGATGTCCACCATCTTCCCCTTATCTTCACCAAGCTTACTTGGTTCAGTTCCTGGTATCTTCCTGAATTAATTACTATCACTTCTGGTTTTTTATTGATGTAGTCAACTTAGTCTCCTCCAGAAATCAAGACCACGTCTCTCCTTCTCCCTACCCAACACACCCAAGAAATCCTAGAGGGCTGGGGTTAAATCTCCTCTTCAGAACACTAGCTCCCCAAGGCAGGACGAGGTCAATGAAACCATAGAAACAAAGAACCTTAGAATTGAAAGGGAGCTTGCAGATCATCTAGCAGTGGGTGTTATAGAGAGAGGAACCCATTCAGGTAGATGTCTAAAATGTGGATCATAGGATTTAGCACTTAGAAGAGTTCAGTTCGAACCCTACCTCCGACAATTACTATCTAGGTGACCCCAGATGAGTCATTGAGACCACTCTCATCCTTAATTCTCTTTTCCATAAAACAAGGATAATAACAGGACTTACTCGATTGTTGTGAGGATCAAATATACTTAAGCCACGTTGTAAGCTCTAAGTCAATGTGTAAATGTTAGCTATTACTCTTATTAGCCTGACTCCCTTTTTGTTAGGAAGATTTCTTTCAGTAGAATCTCCCTCCTCTGTGTCTTCCCAGAGACAAGTAGCAGCTACTTAATGACTATGAATCAACCCCCTTCTCCCCTCCTCCAAAGCTGGATGATAACATGAGACTTTGGGGTATTTTGTTAGAAACATTTATTAAAAAAATATAGGGGGCTTGCAGGGGAAGTGGCCGGGGAAGAGCCCATCCCCACCCCTAGCTCTCTGGGACTCTGTCATCAATCTCTCAATCTGCAGCCTCAGCTAGGTGGCTGTCTCTGTCATCTCTGTAGGGTGGTAGATGATATTCTCTTTGGCAACACTCCTGGGCCTAGGAAACAGAGGGGGTCAGGGTCAAATGCTAATCATAAGCCAATATAACCAGTGCTCCGTTTTCAGGGAATTTGCATGTTCTCTTGAAATGGCCCAAGGGGTTCTGGGATCAGCTGAATTTAGATGGCAAAGGCCCTGGGGTCAGGGAATGGTGGATAAGGAGAGGAAACTTTAGAGTTGTCCAGAATGTATATACAGGATGAGAATTAAACAATGTATACAGTAAAGGGATGGAGTTATAAGGAACAGAGCAGGAGGTCAGAGGTGCTGAGTGAAATAAGAAAAGAGAAATTTGATTTCAGGGGATGTAAGATAATATTCACAGGAGCTGTGTAATGATGGGCACTTTTCCTCTTTTGGGGGCTCAGTTTCCTCATTTGTAAACTGAGGGGGTTGTGCTACATGACCTTAAAATTCCTTCTAACTTAAAAAATGATATCATCTTTACCTCTTCTGACACTTCACATATAGAAGGAAGGCCACACTTGTGACAGCAAAGAGAAGTCCAAAGACCAGTGCCAGGATGTCACCTGTAGGAAAGAAATGTTGGGGGTGGGAGTGATGGATACAAGAGAGAAGGAGGCTGCTTAGGTGAAAAAAGGTCATTGTAGATTGGGTCTTTTCCATGCAAAGCAAATTAATCCTATTCAAGCCTTTGGTGCAACTAACAACCTAATCTATGTACCATGGTCTCCTATGAAGAATTACCTATAGAGTCTACAAAAAAAAACCAAACCCCCAAGAAAACAACAAACTAAACTAAAAGGGCAGGATTTTCAGCTGTATGGATAATGGAGCAAGAAGGGTCATACGTGTGCATGGGGGCAGGAAATGGTGATGGAGGGGTGGAATCAAGGGGAAGGAAGAGCAAAATTAACACTTAACAGTACAATACAGTGGAAAGAGCCCTATGTCTGAAGTCAGAATCTAGGTTCAAATTCTACCCTTGAGGCTTGCAACCTATCAGACCCTGGGCAAGTTATTTAAGCTCTGTGGGCCTCAGTTTTCCCATCTGTCAAATGGTTCTGAGGTCCCTCAGAGCTCTAAACTGGCACCAGGTGATCCATGGACACCCTAACCTTTCCCATGAAATCTGGGGAACTTCAACTTTTCCTTTTGTATTTAAATTCTTCCTTGTCATCCCTTCCTATCTCCAATCCTCTACCCCAACAGAAAACACACACACACACCCTTAGGAAGTATCAGAGTATGTGTGCTTTAGAGGTCACTGGATTGGGGGTAGTAGTAGGGATAAACTGGGGGCTAGTTGTAGGATTCCTGATTAGGTCAAAGATGGGGATAGCAGAGGAGGGTAAAAAGGGCAAAATGGACCATTTTCTTGACCAATGTTACTGCCACAGCCATCTAAGAAGGCCCCAGAGGAAGCCCACAGGGGATCCTTAGGGCTTAGGGGGAAGAAAGGTTTTTTCTGTCCAAAACTTACCAACACTCAGGCAGGAGCTCACATGCACTGAATGGGAGGGAGAAGGGAGATGGCAAAGTCAGAGCCTGAAGCTAAGATTCTGGGACCCAGGAATCCACAGATGCAGGGAATGGGGCTGTACCTGGCTCAGCAGTTGGGCCTCTAGGGTGCCGTGGCATGTTGCTGGCAATGGTAGTAGGGAAGGAGGCCTCAATCATTCTCCCATTCAGAGGCTGGGTTAACCTGAAGTTCCGTTGGAGCCGGGAGCCCATAGGGCCCCGCAGGGATTCAGTTAGAATCTGGAGCTGGTGGTGACAGGAATAGGGTAGGTGGGAAAGGACGGAATGATTTGGTCAAGAGTCATAGGTCATGAGGTGGGTCACAGGAGAGGGCTCAAACACAGGAACTAAGGGGAGATGGGAAGTCTCACTCTCCAACAACACCCCTAGTCCCCATGTCCAGAGACCCTCAATGGTACTCACTGCGTCATGAGCCTAACAGTAACACTCCCTGCGCCCAGATACCTGCATTATCTCCCCACCACACTGCCCGTTCCTCCTCTATCTCCTCTTCACCTCTTCCATTGCTGCCCCCCCACAGATATCCCAGTTTTTCACCTTAGGCCTGATGTACTCTTTCCCCTTTCTCCTACGTACATGTTCCCTGCCCCTCTCCCATGCCTCCCCCTCTTCTGGCCACGGCTCCATGCTCTCCTACAGACACACCTGCTCAGTACTCAAAAGCACCGTCTGGTTGAACACTGTCCAGATGACCCCCTGGGAGCAGGGGGGTGTAGTCAGAGACCCTTTATAACGGAAATATCGGTGAAGGTTTTGAGGCAGGAGCGCAGATATATCTAGCCCTGGGATCCACGTCTCTGAATCTGTCCAAAAGGAAGGAGCGGTCACTCACAGGAGATCATCATGGGAAGTTTGGCCCTCCCTCCATTTTCTCAGGTCTTTCTTGAGTTTGACTCTGTCTCTCTGTCTCTCTGTACCAGGGAGCCTCAGAATCTCATCCTACACCAGACATTCCCCTTCTGAGTATGATAATACTAATTTAATGCTTCCATATATGATCTCATTTGATCCTCACAACTGAGCTACTATCTATAAATAAAGTTATTCCCATTCTACAGTAGGGAAAACTGAGGCTCAGAGAATCTAATTGACTTGTTCATTGTCACACAGATAGTAAGTTGCAGAGGGGGGATTTGAACTCAGATCTCTCCAAAATCCAGGTCTAGAAATCTTTACCCCATGCCTCCTACCAGAATTGTTTCTTGATTAACCCTACCCAGTTCTGATCTCTTCTTTACTCTGGATCATTTTTAGCATTTAAAGACACAAGAAACCCTCACTATACGGGGGAAAAAGATCTCTCAGTAATCAAATTAGATATTTGAAGATTTATGCAATAAAGCCCATGTACAGGACAGCCACCCACACAGACACCCTCTGTATGAACCTATTTATTCTTATTTTATGCACAATCCTAATAAACTCGGTATATGGTTGTTCTAAGTAGCAACAAATTAGAAGTGGGAATAGGGGGTCCTAAAAACAGCCAAGCAGACAGCAGGGAAAGCTGGTACCCTGGCAGCATGGAGCCATCAGAGGCAGACAGAATCATTTTTCTTTTCAGAATCACTTTATTTTTTTTAGGCATTTGGGGTTAAGTGATTTGCCCAAGGTCACACAGCTAGTAAGTGTCAAGTGTTTGGTCTGAAGTCACATTTGAACTCAGGTCCTCCTGACTTCAGGGCTGGTGCTCTATCCACCACACCACCTAGCTGCCCCTAGAATCACTTTAAAAAGCACAACCAGAGGTGTTGCTGCTTTTTATCTCCCAGGTCCCCAAATTAAGCATGAGCAGTCAACCCTATCTCTATCTCAACAGACCCTCAAGGCATCCAAGCATGGTACAATTAGTCTTCCTAATGATGACCATAGGAGGGATAATGACAGGGTAGATAGAAAGCTGACTTTATAGTCAGAAAGACCTTGGGTTCAAGTCTTTGGCCTCAGACATATACTGGCTGTACGTAGGGGCAATTCACTTAATATCTCAGTGCTCCCAAGGAACTTTGTAAGAATAAAAAGCAGGTGCTGATCTGTCCTAGAAAAAGGAGGTCCTTATGCCAATAAAAATCACAGGCCTGGTCTAAAATAAATGTTGACTCAGTCATCAAGATAAGGATATATTCTGTTTGTACCATCTGTTTAAGAGGACCAGAAAGTATGCAATACATATTAGAAAGCTATCCACCCAACATGGATAATTTTTTAATTGTGGTGCTTAAGGAAATTAAACCCTTAGCAACTCAGAAAATTTAAAACTTACTATGAGATTTTACTGTTTATTTGGTTTGAATAAAGCCCTGGAGTATCACAGATTTAGAACTAGGAGTAAAGGCAATTTAGTGGAACCCCTTCATTTTACAGATGAGGAAACTGAGGCAGAGAGGTAGTGAATCTCCATGGTCACACATCTAGTAGAAATCGAGAGAGGGTTTAAACCAGGTCTTTCTGATTCCACAATACTCCATGCCCCATACCATGCTGCTTCTTTGTACTTATTTATTGGTAGGTATCTCTTTCCTGTCTTCCTTAATGTTAAAGTAATGAAACTACCACTAATTTTGTAGTGTCTAAACTATTACCTGAGCCCCTTCAGGGAAGGGACCACATCTCTCCCCTCAGAAAACAGGCTCTCTAAGAATTGTCCTATGAAGACAGGAGTGAGAAAATGGACAAAGGCACAAACTAACCTTCGTCATCAATTGCCCCAAGACGTGACAGTAGCTGTTCATAGGCATCATTCTCCTCTGGGCCCTCCTTAGGGGGAGACACACATTGGGACACAAAACTTGGATCCATGAGGGAGACCGGGGTGGGGGTGGGGCCTGATGGAAGAGGGGCCCCAGTAGAACTTCCATCCAATGCCCTTCCCTCCATCTCCCCAGGCTTTTCCTCCTGAAAGTTACTGAGGTTGGAGGGAAGGGGGAAGGGCACTTACAGACCAGATTCCCAAGAGAATGGGAAAAGATTGGAGTGTTCAAGAGGGTGCAGAAACTGGAAATCTCAGGCAAAGGGTTGTGAATCTTGGCATCAAGGGAATGAGGGTTTTGGAAGAGGGAAGACTGAGTATGAGAGTTCTGGGGATGAAGGATCTGGATTGTCCCTGAGGATCATGCATCCTGTGTCACAGAATGCACAGATGAAGGGTTACTGGGTAATAGGGTATGGAGATTGCAGGCTCCAGGGTCAAGGTCTTACAGACACAGTATTCCCGGGGTCAGTACCTGAAGGAAGGCAGCCAGCACAGCTAGGCCCCCAGGCTGTCCCAAAGCTTCTTTGACCGTATCATATTGGGTGTTGAGGTGAACTACATGAATCTAGAATGAGAACTGACATTTGACCCCAAAACCCCAAACCAAACCTCCCATGGTCTGCCACCACTAACCCCAACCCCCACCGCTGACTTCAACCTACTGCTCACCTCAGCTGGAAACCGGTGACTACTGACAGTATGCTCTGAGCCAGGTACCCCAGGTGCCCCCCAGTGCAGATGTAACTGCAGGGCCCGGTACTCTGTCCCCTGGCCCAATGTCATCCACAATCCCGGGGGCAGTGTTAGCTGCACTGGGGAAGAGAGGGGAGGATAAAGTGGAGAGGAGCATCTGGGACTCCCTGAGACCTCATCTCCTGGCTCTAGGTCCATGCCTTCCGTGGCCACGCACCAGTACCCTCGCACCTCTCCCTCCCTCCTCCAGAACCCCACCCTTGGCCATGGCTCCTCCCCTTCAGCCCCGCCCTCCCAGGGCAGCGTCCTATTTTGTCTTACCTGTGTGACCGTTGTTCTGCAGCTTGAGAGGCTGATCTGGGGAGATGTAGAAGTCGTGGAGCTGGGGAGGCACCAGGTCAGGCCTGAAATAGGTGGAGTCCGGCCGGATGTCCACTGGCGACTGAAGGTGTCCCCCGCAGGCTCGGGAGACGCGGGACCAGAGGGGGCCGCCTGGGGACGGGGCCAAGAGGCGCCCGGGTGGGTAGGTGGAGATCAGGGAGAAGTGGCGGACAGGGACAGTGAGGGTCAGGAAAAGGGGGGTGGGGCATGAGGACGGGGCCAGAAAGGGAGAGGAGTGATAGGGTCTAGAAGTTTAGGGGGCCAAAGGTCGGGGTGATTGGCTCAAGTTGGAAGGAGCGAGGTCAGGTTATTTGGCTCAGGTATTGGATGTTGGACGGGCTTAAGAGAGAGAAGAGAAGGAAGAAAGGCGATATGAGAAAGAATAGGATAAAGGAGAGAAAGGCAAGAAAAGTGGACAGAGGAGAGAGGAAGCAATGAGGGATGAAAAGGAGACAAGGAACGATGGGAGTGAGAAAAGGAGGAAACGAAGATGGGAGGTGGTGGGGGCTCAGGGTTGCTTAGGAATAGGGGCAGCTGCCAGGCTGGAATGAGAGAAGGGCTGATAATCAGTTTAAAGCCCGAGGATCCATGGAGTCTCAGGAATGACTGAAGGTGGGGATGTTGGAAGGGGAAAGGGGGCGGGTGTTAGAAGACATCTCACCTGTATAGCTCCAGTGCTGGTGGTCATCATCTACAAAAATGGGAATGAGGACATTGGTTCCCCCATGGCCAACAATGTATGGCTCAGTGCTGATGAAGCAGCTTGCCTCATCCTCACCTTCTTTACCAACCCTCTGCTTTCCATATCCACTCTCTCTCCCATTTTTGTTCATGTTACTCCCTCTTCTTGTGAGGCGGCATGACTTAGCCCTGGGTTTGGAGTTAGGAAAACCTATTTTCCAATCTTGCCTCTTAACAATTTCTAGCTCTGGGACCCTTAGCCATTCTGAGCTTCATCTTCCTCATCATTGAAGCAATAATGCTGGTAGTACCAGGATTGCTGAGAGGCTCAGTTGGAGACTGGTTCTGTGATGTTATCTGTAGGGAACTCCAGTATGAGGAAACTGAAGTGTTTTGTAAGACTTAAAGCATTATGTAAATACTTTCTTCCTATTACTACTACAAAGGGGATTTGTACATTTAAATTCTGATCTCCATTTTTCCACTAACCGTGTGACCTTAGTCAATCCATTTCAATGCTCATTCCTTTTTCTCTTTCTTCATTTTCTCTCTTTCTTTCTCTTTCCTTCCTTTTAAAATCAATCAACAGGCATTTTTTTTATCAGCTACTTGCCAGGCACCATGCTGGGTGATGGACTACAAAGGCAAAAGGGAGAGGATCCTTGCCTTCTTTCTCTTTTTCTTTTCTTTTGTTCCCTTTTGTCTTTGTCATCACCTCTCTCCTTTCTTTTCTTTCTTTCCTATCTCCCCTTTTTCTGTTCTCTTCTTTCCCTTTCTCCTCTTCCCATCTCATTACTATTCCTCTGTTCCTCTTCTCCTCTTTCCTCCCCTCATCTCTCGCTTTTCTCTTTCTTTTCCTTTTCCTTATCTCCTTTCCCTTACCCTGGGTTCCCTGGCTATCTAACAAAACTAGGCCTTCAGGGATACCCCACAATTCACATATCTCCTTACCATGCTGTACTACCCCACTTTGCAATTCCCTTTTATGCTGTTCTTGCCCTCTAGAATATAAGCTCCATAATGGTAGGAATTCTCTTGTTGGCTTGTACTTGTATCACCAGCTCTTAGCACAGTCCCAGGCACATAGTAAGCATTTAATAAAGACTTTTTCTATCTCTCTATCATCTATCTCTTTTTTCTTCCTGTCTTTCCTTCTCTTTTTTCTCTTTATCTCTTCTTTCTCTTTCCTCACCTTCTTTCTTTCTTTTTCTTCCCTTCCCTCTTTTTTTTTTTTTTTTGAGACAATCAGGGTTAAGTGACTTGCCCAGGGTCATACAGTTAGTGAGTAGCATGTGTCTGAGGCTGGATTTGAACTCAGGTCTTCTTGACTCTAGGGCTGGTGCTCTATCAACTGTGCCACCTAGCTGCCCATCTCTCTTTTCTTTTCTCACCTCCTCACTTTCCCCTAACCTCTTCCCTCCCATATTCCTCACTTTATCTTTTCCTTAGTTTTTGTTCCTTTATCCCCTCCTTCTCTTCCCCTTCCTTTCTCATTTCTTCTCCCTCTTCTGCCTTACTTCATCTGCTCCCCTCCAACCCTTCCCAGTTCAAGCTTTCCCATTTTCTCCTTTCCTTTCTCTCTTCTCTTTTTCCCACCTTCTTTCTCTCTCCCTCCCTTTCATTTCTTCTTTCTTTCTTCTCTTTCTTCTTTCCTTCCTCCTTCCCCCCCTCCCTTTTCTCTCTCTGTGATGAATTGAGAAAGAAAAAGTTATTGAGGGAAACAAAGGTGTACCATTTCTTGCGGAAGATATGGTTTCTAGATAAAACAGCAAAGCCCCAAGCCCCTTTCCCTCATCCTCTCCTTCCCTCCCCCTCTCTTCCCTTTGTGCCATTTCCCCCTACCCCAACATAAAGCAGTCTCTACTCTTTTCACTCCCATTCTTTCCTCCCTTTCTCATCCTGTGCAGAGTGAAAGGAGGGATTAAATACTTGGACTCTGGGTTTAGCTCCTGGGGGAGGGGATGAGACAAAGGAGTGGCTGGGAGGCAGAAAGAGACGAAGGAAAACTAACCTTTCTTTTCTGGGATGTTCTTGTGGGTCCCAAGACTACCTTCAGGGACTGAGGAATCTTCAACAATGGGTGGATCCTCCTTTCTGGGCAGGACCTCCTCCCTGGATGGGACCTCCTCCTTGGATGGCTCATCCTGTCCAGGTGTGTCTCCTTCACTGGAAAGCTCCCCTTCTCCAGTTGGCTTCTCCTCTTGGGGTACATCCGTTGCCCCATGGGGATCTCCCTCCTCTTCAGATGAATCCCTTTCATTTCCCAACACGCTGTAGGGGTGCGAGGGGACCAGAAACAGGAGGAGCAACAGCAGAAAGATGGGGGCCCTGGCTAGGGACAAGAGGGAAAGCCAGCCTGGACAAGGGGGAGCCATGCCGCTTGCAGACTGGGAAGTGAATACCCTGGTGGTGGTGCCTACGGTCTGTACGTGCTAGCAGAGCCTGAGCTGAGTGGGGAGGGGCAGGGGAGCAGGGTGACTCACAGAGAGAGCACTTTTATAGTGATGGAACCAAAGTCTTCCTGGCCTGGCCCACTGCCCCATATGCAATGAGGGTTGGCAGGGCAGGTGTGTGCTTAAACAGAGTTTATCAATGTTCTAGGCTGGGCTCTTAGCGCAAGGCACTGGTGTGCACGGGACATTCTCCTTCCTGGTACCAAAACTGTCTGACCTAACTTTTTCCTTCAGCTAATGGGGTACAAACGGAGCAGCAGGAAAGAGGGGCCCCCAGCAAAAAAGATCCCAGTGATCTTTTTGTTTCCCAAGTCACAGAGTCTAAAGGGGGTAGGGTGGGAATGGGGGTGGGGTCTGCCCTCAGATAGGACTTGATTGATTGAACCGAGAGGTGTGGGAGGGGCAGAGGCTGGACCGGGAGCCTGAGTTATGGTATATGTGAGTGTCTTTGGATATGAGGAATCTCTGTGTATTTGTCTCAATATGTGTATGAATCTCACCACATCCGTGTATATCTCAAGGTGAGTGACTGCTATGTCCCTGAACATCTGTGTATGTGTGAAACTCTGCATCTGAGTCTGTCTCACTGAATGCTGGCATCAAGGTAAATCCATCTTATCTCTGACTCTACCTTACTGTGGCTTTGTGTTTTGGTTTTTCTCCCTGTCTTTGTGCCTGCCTCACTTTCTGTGTCTGCATCAGCCCCTCCTCCTCACTTTAGAGGGGTGGAAATTGAGCTCCAGAGCAGCTGCAATCCTGCAGCTAGCTAGAGTTTGGACGTTTGCATTCCTGGGTCTTTCTGTCTTCTGGTTCACTTTATCTATTTATCCCTCTTTTACCCTTTGTCCCTTGGTATTAATATCTAGGGCTGTGAGGGACCTTAAAGATCTTTTCATTTGAATCTCTAATTTCACAGATGAAGAAATTAAGCTCCATAGAGATTAAGGTCACATAGTTAGAACGTGGCAGAGGAGTGATTCGTACCCAAATCCTCTGACTCCATATCTGTTCGACCTCATTGTCTAATGTCTAAGACAATGGTACAATAGAGTAGGAAGAACCTTTGAACTCTGAAATGAAAGAATTGGGCTCAAGTCCTAACTTCAGGATTTACTCGTTTGGGCAAGAAAGAACTTTGGTTTCCTCTTCTGTCTTCTACCATCTGTCTCATTAATCCTGAATATGGCTTACTGTTGCCTATTCATTCATATTCTCTCCCTTTCCCCTCCCCCTGACCCTTGGCTTCCCTCTTTCTCTCTTCCTTTCTTTCATCCCTTCCTCACAACAGTGGAGCATATTTCTTCCTTTCTGTCTCTCTCAATATTTCTAACTTTAGAGCCTCTGAACAACAACAATAATGATCATCATGCTAACAACACCACCTAGCATTTATATCATGCCTTAACATCTCTAAAGCACTTTATGTATATTATTTAACTTGAGCCTCACAATAACTTTGTGAGTCAGGTGCTATTATTATCCATATTTTACAAATGAGGAAATTAAGGCTGAGAGAGAGGTTAAGTGGCTTACCCAGAGTCACACAGTGAGTTAGTGAGTAAGTGTGTGAGACTAGATTTGAACTTGATACCAAGGTAGTACCCTAGCCACTATACTGCCTAGGAAAATATGTCAACTTTGACCCTAAGTCCATGGTCATTACTGGAAACTCAGAATGTCTTCTCTAAGTGGACAACGGGTTGGACTGGATGTATTTAGCCCATATTGACAAATCACTCTTCCTCTACCCTTCCCACTTGTGGTGAGTGAAAGATGAAATGCCTGAGAAAATAAAGGCTCGATCTTCTCAACACATGGATTTATTAAGCAATATATGGCAATTGTTCAACAAACCCAGTCCAGACCTCCTCAGTTTAGTCCTGGACCCCGAATATGGGGAGAGACATTAAAAACAATTAATCAAATAAGACCAGTTAATTAAAAGGAAACAATATAGCATTAGGTAATCTGATTTCTAGTTGAATGAAAGATTAGGAACTTTCCAACTCAGATACAATTCCCTGAATTCAGAAAAAAGAGATGTCCCATTCCCCACAAGTGTCTGTAAGGGATCAAAGGAACATGGAAAAATAAGTGATTGATCAGTATGGAGCCAGTTTTCAGGTAAAACTTATGGGTTGCTTGAGATGTACAATTGTGGGAAAACTTCTTGCATCAGTCTTTGGATCTGACTTTCTGGTCAGTCCCATAGTTAAGGGACTCTAAGCAGCAGGGAGAGGTGGTCCAGCTTCCCAGCCATGCAGGGGCTGGGAAACGATGCAATAAGGTTTTCTCTCAATTCCTACAATTGAACAAAGTTTTCTCACAAGACAGAATTTGCACTAGAGCCATAATTGAATAGAAAGGGAACTGAGCTAGCTCCAGAATTGATTCACAAGATGGAGTCAGTGAGGTTCACTTAATTCCCACAATTAATCATTTGCAGTCCAAATCCCTCAATTAGCTCAGTGCCCCTATACCTCACCCTCATCCTGGACCATAGTACCAGTCTGGTGATTGGGGCAGAGTGGGGTGGGCCTCTTTTCCTAGGACTATATCTCCAATCACTTAGCATCATGTCTTTTATCATGTTCAAGTTAAGTGTCTGGTCCCTAAGACCCAGACATCAAGCAACATGGAGCATGGTCTCTCTTGTCTCTTGTAGCGGGACTCCACAGTGTCACACAGAGTTGTTTTTCCCTGTGTCTCTAAGTTATCATATTTAAGTAGGAAGGGACCCTGGAAGCCATCTGGTTCAACCCCTTCATTTTACAGATGAGGAAATTCATCTATAAGGTGCCACTCAGGGGTCAGATTCAAGTTGTGTCTTCTGATATGTTTAAACAACTCTGGGGTGAGTCTCAGAGACCATTCCTCCAGTGCCTTGGGATTCCTAGGAATTCCCTTGTTGGTGAGTCAAGGATCACTCAGAGCAGTATCTCCAACAACTTAGGGTTTGTGTCTTGAGTAACTCTGAAGCAATGTTTGTAGTTAGTTACTCAAGAGTCTTACTTACTGGAGGTCATGCCTCTAGTCCTTGGGCCTTGGTTTCTGGTCACTGAGGGATCAGGATTCTAGGCCTACAATTTTGTTTTGCTTCTGGAAAATTGTCATTACTTCTAAAGGCTAGGGATGGACTAGATATTTCTATTGTGAAGGGCTATGGAAAACCTTGTTTCCTTCTGGAGCAACAATGAAAACATATGCTAGACTTTCTGACCATCAGTTACCCATTAATTTTTAACCCCTCACTCCCGAGGATATTCCAAACCACAGCTTGGTTGCTGAACCCCTCTGGTGCAGGTTTGCATCTCAACTTTGTATGCCTTCATTCATTTTTAACACTTCCACTTTTGTTACGAACTTTACAATAATCAATATTCAGACAACATTCAGAAGTAGCTCAGTGGTTAGAGTGCTGAGCCTGGAGTCAGGAAAATTTGAATTCAAATCCAGCCTCAGACACTTACTTTCTGGATGATCCTGGGCAAGTCACTTAACTTCTGTTTGCCTCAGTTTCCTCAATCGTAAACTGGAGATGAAAATAGCACCTACCTCCCAGGATTGTTGTGAGGATCAAATGAGATGATATTTCTAAAAAGTGCTTAGCACATACCCTGGCACATAGCAGGTGCTTAACCAATGCTAATTCCCCTTCCTCTCTCAACCAAAGAACAAAACATAGGAGATTGTGTGAAATTGGCAACCATGTGCCACGTCATTCATTTTTAAAGAAATTAATATTCAGTTCAACACAGTAGTAATGAAATTGTTCAGTTTATTTCTGTGTCCCATTCTGAACTTTTTATTTTCTCTTTGATTTTTGTGTTCTTTTCTTTTTTGCATCTCTGTGACTTCCCACTAATTCATCCCTTCCCACCGCTCCTAGAAGAGTGCGAGCGTATGTGTGTGTATAACAAACAAGTTACAAACAAAACAAAGAAACACATTTTGTCATATGTGGAAATGGATGTCTTATTCTGCACCTCTAATCCATCACCTTTTTTGCTAAGAAGCCAAAGGCAAGCTTTGTTATCCTTTGTCTGAAGTCATGTTGAGTCATTGCATTGATCAGGGTTCTGAAGTCTTCCCAAGTTGCTTGCTTTAGTGTGGTCATGGTATGTTTTTGTTTAGCTCCCAACTTTGTATATCCTCATTTCTCTCATCTGCTCTGTACTACCCTCAATCACTTTGTCCTCTCGAAAGATTGAAAAAGTTCAGCTCATTCAGGTGAAAAAATTAAAACTATCTATAGTCATATGAAAAAATGCTCTAAATCACTAGTGATTAGAAAAATGCAAATCAAAACAACTCTGAGGTACCACGTCACACCTATCAGATTGGCCAACATGACAAAACAGGAAAATGATAACTGTTGGAGAAGATGTGGGAAAATTGGAACACTAATGCATTGTTGGTGGAATTGTGAACTGATCCAACCATTCTGGAGAGCAATTTAGAACTATGCTCAAAGGGCTATAAAATTGTGCATACCCTTTGACCCAGCAGTACCACTTCTAGATCTGTGTTCTAAAGAGATCATACAAATGGGAAAAGGACTCACAGGTACAAAAACATTTATAGCAGCTCTTTTTGTGGTGGTAAAGAATTGGAAATTGAGGGGATGTCCATCAGTTGGGGAATGGCTGAACAAGTTGTGATATATGAATGTAATGGAATACTATTGTACTATAAAAAATGATGAGCAGGCAGACTTCAGAAAAACCTGGAAAGATTTGCATGAACTGATGCTGAGTGAAGTGAGCAGAACCAAGAGAACGCTGTGTACAGTAACAGCTAGGTTGTGCAATGACTGACTTTGATAGACTCATCCCTTCTTAGCAATGCAAGGATCCAAGACAACTCCAAAGGACTTATGATGGGAAATGCTGTCCACATCCAAAAAAGAACTATAGAGTGTGAATGCAGATCAAAGCATTTTATTTGC